CCTTTGTAATACTGGTTATTTCAAGCATTCCTGTCAAGTTTTGTCATAATCAGTTCAATAGTTTGAGAAAAATCTAGTATAATGTAAGACGACATCTACAGCGATTCGAGCAAAATTTCTTCGAAAAATCCAAACCAAGCCGCATCATGATAGAATATAGTGTGGACCAATAAATGATCAAATATTTATCTCATCTGCCTACAAACAGTTGAATATGATACAAAAGATGACTTTAGGATGATAAATACTGCTAATGGATCTCTTTGTCTTCCTTATAAGGTCTCTTTTGGTCCATTTATACCTCTCATTTCCTCAAAATTTCTACTTTTTAGGCCAATAAATAAAAATTTTTGGGTAACTTTCACTCATTTATGATAGAAATGTTATTTTAAATGATAAATTGAAGTATTCAAGCTGAATGAACTATCCGTATAAAAGTTTAATGTCTCCAAGGAGGTTTCAATAAGTCCTTACGTAAAACTTAAATTTACGCCGCGTTCCAGAGAGGGACATAAAAAACTTCTCTTTTGGTGAATAATTTGTTGTTACTGCTTTAAAAATAATTTCATTTACTTAAAACTATATACTTATTAAAGTATTTCTTAGTAAAAATTTTCTAGTATAGCAGAATATAAGAAATAAGGAGAAAAAGCTCCCCAAAACTCTAAGTATGGCTTGTTCTGTCAACTAATATTCATGGTAAAGTCCTATTTCAAGGAAATTTTCTCATAAAATGTATTTTGGAGACTCAATCCACTCAGAATATTTCATTATTTGTAATATTTCACTTAAATAGCAAGAAATTTTAACACATGAGAGTACTCACAAGGTCAAAGGTGCATATACAGCTTCCCATATTAGGTGTAATACCACCATTGATTTTCCCCTATTAGTCTTTGTTAAATTTGCACTTTTCAAAAAATTGTGCAGAATTTATCTTTGTTTCAAATACAGAAACACTTGGCATGAGTAAAGTTTTATCCTGTCCAGTACTATAGAAAAAATTTCACATAACATTTCATTGCATATAAGAAAATAATCATCACTGGAAGTTAACCAATCAAATTTTCCCCCTTTTTTAACCTGTGTACAAGCTTTAGTAACCATGTAACCTCAAGTTTCCAAAATATTCTGTAGAAACCCCAAATAAAGAAATAATGGTGCTTTGAAATACCCAAGATATATGTTTATGACTCAGAAATGTTTTACTGCAATGAAATGTAGGATCAATTACCTACAACTGTCAAATTCAAGGGAATATTTTTTTTCGACCTATTTTCGTATGCAACCGGATGTGACGTACTATGATTTGGTGGTATTACACCTCTAGTTAACCCTCCATTATTGTCTGGGTTTTGTGATCACTTAACTCTAGTTTACCCTCCATTATTGTCTGGTTTTGTGATCACCTCATTCTAGTTTACCCTCCATTATTGTCTGGTTTCTGTGATCAGCTAACTCTAGTTTACCATCCATTATTGTCTGGGTTTTGTGATCACCTAACTCTAGTTTACCCACTGTTATTGTCTGGATTCTGTGATCACCTAACTCTAGTTGACCCTCCATTATTGTCTGGTTTCTGTAATCAACTAACTCTAGTTATACCCCCGCTTTAAAAAAGTGGGGGTATACTGTTTTACCTCTGTTTGTCCATCCGTTTGTCCATCCATCCATCAGTCCACCCATTCGTCAGTCCATCATTCCATTTGTCCATCTGTCCGTCCGTCCATCCCATGAATATTTTTCGTCGCATCTTTTTCAGAACGACATTACAAGGATTTCTGAAATTTGGTTTCAGGGTTTATATAAGTCAGCTTTACCGTGTGATGCGTTTTCAGATTTATCACTCAACAACTTCTTGTTTACCGCCAAGTATTTTTGGCAGGGGTATCATCAGTGAGCAGTAGCTCACAGTTTCACTTGTTTACCCTCTGTTATTGGTTAGTGCCTGTGATCACCTTACTCTAGTTTACCCACTGTTATTGTCTGAGTTATGTGATCACCAAATCTAGTTTACCCTTCATTATTGTCTGGGTTCTGTAATCACCTAAATCTAGTTTACCCTCTGTTATTGGTTAGTGTCTGTGATCACCTAACTCTAGTTTACCCTCTGTTATTGGTTAGTGTCTGTGATCACCTAACTCTAGTTTACCCTCCGTTATTGTCTGGTGTCTGTTATCACCTAACTCTAGTTTACCCTCTGTAATTGTCTGGTTTCTGTGATCACCTAACTCTAGTTTACCCTCCGTTGTCTGGTTGCTGTGATCACCTTACTCTAGTTTACCCTCTGTTATTATCTGGTTTCTGTGATCACCTAACTCTAGTTTACCCTCCATTATTGTCTGGTTGCTGTGATCACCTAACTCTAGTTTACCCTCTGTAATTGTCTGGTTTCTATGATCACCTAACTCTAGTTTACCCTCCGTTATTGTCTGGTGTCTGTTATCACCTAACTCTAGTTTACCCTCTGTAATTGTCTGGTTTCTGTGATCACCTAACTCTAGTTTACCCTCCGTTGTCTGGTTGCTGTGATCACCTTACTCTAGTTTACCCTCCGTTATTATCTGGTTTCTGTGATCACCTAACTCTAGTTTACCCTCCATTATTGTCTGGTTGCTGTGATCACCTAACTCTAGTTTACCCTCTGTAATTGTCTGGTTTCTGTGATCACCTAACTCTAGTTTACCCTCCGTTATTGTCTGGTTTCTGTGACCACCTAACTCTAGTTTACCCACGATTATTGTCTGGTTTCTGTGACCACCTAACTCAAGTTTCCTATCCATTATTGTCTGGTTTCTGTGATCACCTAACTCTAGTTTATCCTCCGTTATTGTCTGGTTTCTTTCATTACCGAACTTTAGTTTACCCTTCATTTTTGTCTTGCTTCTGAACAATGTCACAGAAGATGAGGTTATGGTATGACTATTCTGAGATGCTGTTATCAGTTTTCATATACTTTGCAAATTGGATTGAGGTTGTAAATTATTTGACCTTATCAGCTGGTTATAACCGCCATATCTTGACCTTGTTTTCATGCTCCATTGTTTAGGTGAAGTTTTCAGGATTAAGTTTGTTCTTATACAACAGTGCACATGCTGAAATATTTCCCCTGATTAACTGAATAATATTGAATTTTCTGTTCAAAGCCTTTATAATAATAAGGTCTTACTAGAGGTATGAGGATCACACGAACTTTACATAATCAATGATTACCACAGGTATGGGTATCACATGAACTTTACATAATCAATGATTACCACAGGTATGTTGATCACATGAACTTTACTTAATCAATGATAACCACAGGTATGGGGATCACATGAACTTTACATAATCAATGATTACAACAGGTATGGGGATCACATGAACTTTACATAATCAATGATTACCACAGGTATGAGGACTTTACTTAATCAATGATTACTACAGGTATGAGGATCACACAAACTTTACATAATCAATGATAACCACAGGTATGGGGATCACATGAACTTTACATAATCAATGATTACAACAGGTATGGGGATCACATGAACTTTACATAATCAATGATTACCACAGGTATGAGGACTTTACTTAATCAATGATTACTACAGGTATGAGGATCACAGGAATTTTACATAATCAATGATTACCACAGGTATGGGGATCACATGAACTTTACATAATCAATGATTACCACAGGTATGAGGATCACATGAACTTTACATAATCAATGATTACAACAGGTATGGGGATCACATGAACTTTACATATTCAATGATTACCACAGGTATGAGGATCACATGAACTTTACATAATCAATGATTACCACAGGTATGAGGATCACACGAAATTTACATAATCAATGATTACCACAAGTATGGGGATCACATGAACTTTACATAATCAATGATTACCACAGGTATGAGGATCACATGAACTTTAAATAATCAATGATTATCACAGGTATGGGGATCACATGAACTTTACACAACCAATGATCTATCAATATGTTGGAAACACCATATGAACTCTGTTAAACAGAAATTTACACCTGAAAATAAGTCTATACACTGAATAAAGTTGACCAATTGCTTAAAGTTTCAAAGACAAAGGACCTTATTGCAATAACTTACCATAAAATGAAGGAACCTTCAATTGGTTCTCAATGCTATTCAACTTACCATAAAATGAAGGAACCTTCAATTGGTTATCAATGCTCTTCAACTTACCATAAAATGAAGGAACCTTCAATTGGTTCTCAATGCTCTTCAACTTACCATAAAATGAAGGAACCTTCAATTGGTTCTCAATGCTCTTCAACTTACCATAAAATGAAGGAACCTTCAATTGGTTCTCAATGCTCTTCAACTTACCATAAAATGAGCCTAAGGAACCTTTAATTGGTTCTCAATGCTCTTCAGCTTACCATAAAATGAAGGAACCTTCAATTGGTTCTTAATGCCCTTCATCTTACCATAAAATGAGCCCGTCAGAACCTTCAATTGGTTCTCAATGCTCTTCAACTTACCATCAAATGAGCCTAAGGAACCTTCAATTGGTTCTTAATGTCCTTCAACTTACCATAAAATGAAGGAACCTTCAATTGGTTCTCAATGCTCTTCAATAATTGATTTGGCTTTCATTTGTTTTGTTTGAAGTGCCACTGTGGTGAAATGGAAGTTCTTTCATAATATTAGTTTGAAATAGATGTCTGTTGATTATTTTTGTTGTTGGGTTGTTGTCTGATAGACCTATACCCTGTATCTCCTTTTGTTTATCCTAAAACCTTTTTGACTGTGTTGCTTATGCCTTGTTGGGTTAATATGCTCAAAACAAGTAATAGTTTTACCAAATTTTGGGTCTCTAATTTTCTAATGAAGATTATCTCAGAAACTTGTGTAAAGCCAAAGGATATCAGTATTTATATATATTTATTTCAAAGAAGAATAAGAGTAGAGATTTACATCTTTTTATTAGTTGTATCATCATCATATGGATTAATTTTGTATTTTTAGGAAGTATTTACCCCACAGAATGGGAGACATGTTCTATGGTACAGCTGTGGACCAACAGTATATGATGCTTCTCATATGGGACATGCCAGGTTTTATATTGTTTATAGATTAATAGCTTTAATATTTTTTTATGAATTTTGATTATTTTATTGCTAACCAAAATCATCTTACAGTTTCCTTCATAACATTTGATAAGTTTTTCATAAGATGAGCTGCCAAGCTTTGAAAATCATCACTATCTCTTCCCAGTGAAGATGCATTGTAGATATAGTAAATAAACTCATCACAGATACCAGGATTAAAGTTGATACCAGGGTTAAAGTTTTATATATGAGATGCTGTTTTTGTCTACAAAAGACTCATCAGTGACACTCAAATCAAGCCATAAAGTTGAAGAGCATTGAGGACCCAAAATAAGCAAAGATTTTGCCAAATGCAGCTACGGTAATCTATTCCTGTGGTAGCAAATCCTTAATATTTCAAAAAGATTTTAAGTTTATTATATATACTGGACAGTACAACAGACCACATCAACAAAATATGACAGTATGAGTGCTCTGAAAAATAGACATACAAACTACCCTGTCCACATTCTGTATGTGTCTGTCCCAAGTCAGGAGTCTGTAATTCAGTGGTTGTCGTTTGTTGCTGTATATCATAATTGTTTTTCGTTCATTATTTTTAGAAATATCACATAATGTACATAAATCAGGCCGTTAGTTTTCTCGTTTAAATTGTTTAACATTTGTTGTTTCTAGGCCTCTTATAGCTGACTATGCTGTATGGGTTTTGCTCATTGTTGAAGGCCATATGGTGGCCTATAGTTGTTAACTTCTATGTCATTTGGTCTCTTGTGGAGAGTTGTCTCATTGGCAATCATACCACATCTTCTTATTTTTAAACAAAGACAAAAAAAACAACATTAGATAGATTTCTATATGAAGTAGTTTGAGTTATTTCCCTTGGCCACCATTTTGGATAGGGTAAATGGTTGATTTTCTTATTTGACTAACCAAATCAAAACATGTGGTACAATCAAGTTTTATTAGAGATCTTTACTAAATTATAGTGATGAATCGCCGTTCCTTTGCTTTATTGTGTGTATTTTGTTGTGCATGTACTGATTTGTATCAGTACCCCATATCCTTTGTTTTTATTCTATTATATATACGGAGTTTGTCTCTCGTGCTGTGTGGAGGCCTTATAAAGTTTCCCCTTGCTTGATATGTATGTTCCTTTGTATATTTAAAGTTATGGTGTATTTATTCTTGAGATAACTTTTCTTATTTGTGCCACATCATTCTCTCAATTTTAGGCCAGTTTTTGTACTAAATTTTTAATAAGACGCACACCACCTATTCTTGGCCCTCATTCCTATCCACGTTAAATTTTTCACTTCCAAACATTTTACAGGGGCAGGATCAATATATTGTTATTTATACATCAGACTGTACTGGTTACTGGAGTTTTGGATACACCAAACCAGGTACATATCTGAGAAACAGGCAATATATGCCCCCAATTTTAGAATTCATTCATACATTTTTGTACTGTAAATTCAGAAATTATTGCGTGCATTTATTAATGCGATTTTGGAATAATTATCACAAATGCGAGATTAATTATTGCGATTTTCGGAAAAGCTGAATACATTATATGTCTCAGATATCAGAATGCGAGTTCTTATTATTGCGATACTCGCCCAGTCGTATTATTCGCATTAATAAAAACCTCGCAATAATTTCTGAATTTACAGTATTATTCAAAATTATAAGTCAATATGTGTTCTACAAGGATCACCAGTCCTTCACCTTTCATCTGATACCTCAATTACTTAAATATATTCTACATAGTTTTATATTTACACATATGCGTAGGAACTATTTTGTTTTAAATATGTACAACTTTTCAGTATGTTCTTTTTTGACCGGGCCCGATTTGGTGGTGTTACATCTTACATAGTCTATCCAAATTATTTTTGCAAAGAATTACGCTCAGCCAGTGCTAGGGGCCATCTTAAACTTGCAGTGAGGTGAAAGTTTTTTTGTTTTTGATTTTGTTTTTTTTGTTTTTTTTTTGCTCCTTGTAAGGGCCTCATTGTGACTTTGAGATGAAGAACAGCAATAAAAGCGCTGTTCCTTTGCTTTGTTTGTGTGTTTTGCTGTGCATGTAATGATTTTTTGTCATGTCATGGATGGATACCCCATATCCTTTGTTTTTCTATCAAACAAGGCTAAAAGAAATTAAAATTTTTCAGATGACTTTTTCTGAAGACTAGTGGTCAGTATAATAAGTTGAATTTGGCCTATTTATACATTTGTCTAGATAGTCTGGTTTGGTACATGCACACACATAATGTACTAGTGTATATTTTTCTAGGTAATTGCCAAACATCTCACAATGGTGAGGGATCAAAAAGTCTTTTTGAAACATTACAGAATAAATTTGTAGAATAGTCTTCATCAATTTTGGTAAAAATAATTGTCAAAAAATAAAATTATCTCATTAGTTCTGTACAGTCAAACATTATATATGCCATTCAACCTGTCAGGTTGTGATGGTATAGTATACAGTTTGAACTTATTTTATCTGATGAAAGTTTAATAATCCCCCCAAAAATTGAAATGCAATCTTATATTTGGTTGTATTATTTGTTTGTAGAAATTTCTTGTATAGTATATATAGTTTTTAAAAGGCTTGATTTGTTATATATTTAATTATAGCGTAATCAATGAAAAATTGCATGAGACATGACTTAATGAACTTAGACTTTTAACCAGTATCCAAGTAGTCAACACAAGTATGAATAAAAAGTTATAATTGGGTTGTGAACCATTAACTATCAACCATTAAAGCTTTTACCACTTCGATCAATTCAATCTAATCAAAGACTCTAAGGTTATATACTTTTAATTATATGAGCCATATTTAAACATATTTTTTGCACTTGTAAATGCAACACCAGATAATGAAAATGTTAAAGCAAGGAACTACTAATATGAATCTATTTGAACGGAGTAAGTTCATATATATATAAGGGTCATATTTGGCCCGATTGTTAAGTCCATAGTTATGTTTCAATATGAAGAAAAGACACATTAGAAAGTGAAAAAAAATATTTTTGTGCAATTTTTTTTATAAAGCATTAACATTTACAAGCAAATTAGCCAAAAGTAGAGATTTTGATGAAATTTGACAAAATAGTCAAATTTAGTCCTAGGAAACAGAGTGCAGGCTTCGACAACCTTAATATTCAAATCAGATATTTAAAATGTTATATCAAACATTATATTAAAAGGTCTTTCTTGTCAATGCATGCACTCTATGTTTCCAGTTCAAAAAAATCAATGGAAGTTTTCTTGTTTTTTTGAATTTTCATGGAAAATCAAAATATGTCCTTTTTTTGATATCATGAAAAGAACGTGAATACGTAAATTTTGAACAAAAAGTGTATATTTTCTACCTATAGTCATTGTTTTAACTATGGATCATTGTTATTGTGGTCAATAAATCCTAGCTTCAAAATGTAACTAGAAATAGGGGCCAATTTAGGGCCTTATTGAACCTACTCCTTTATTAATGCAGGTAGCACAAAAGTAACTTTTATAAGATAAAGATTTTATGCATTACTGGTACCGGTACATGTATTTTCCAACTCAGGAAGAGTTCTTCTTAATTAATTGATTTATATTACAGGTCCTATATATCATTTGACATCTTGAGAAGAGTTCTGCAGGATTACTTTAAATATGAAGTGTTTTACTGTATGAATATCACAGATATTGATGATAAGGTTAGTACTGTATAGAGAGGGAAGGGATGGTAAAGTATGTTCCAGAGAGGGAGGGGATGATAAGGTTAGTACTGTATAGAGAGGGAGGGGATGGTAAGGTATGTTCCAGAGAGGGAGGGGATGATAAGGTTTGTACTGTATAGAGAGGGGGGATGATAAGGTTTGTACTGTATAGAGAGGTGGGGATGATAAGGCTAGTACTGTATAGAGAGGTGGGGATGATAACGTTAGTACTGTATAGAGAGGTGGGGATGATAAGGTTTGTACTGTATAGAGAGGGAGGGGATGATAAGGTTAGTACTGTATACAGAGGAGGGGATGATAAGGTTTGTACTGTATAGAGAGGAGGGGATGATAAGGTTAGGTAGCACTCCACAGTTAGGTGTGTAGTTTCGCATTTTGGCCCCTGTGGATTTTTCAAATATGATAGCTAGTGTAGAATAAAATTCATTTTTGGATAGCTGAAGATTAAAATAGCCTTCATAGTGGGTTTATAGGAACATCAAGATTATGTAATGTATGTAATATGGGCTGTTTTCTGTATGACAGTCCGTATTTTCATATCCATACCAAATATTGGTCCGGCAATTATTGTAATGTTTTTTTCCGACTTTTTGTCGCACGAACTTTGCAATTAAATTTTATGAAAAAATGAGGCGAAAGACACCCATTTTTATTTGATCATTTGGTAGATTTATATCAACAGTCTCTGAAAAGGTATCACTGAAAGGCATTGAAATTCTAGTTTGAACCAAATTTTGGGGGAATATGTGACATTTTTGCCCCCCTTTTTGCAATATTTTATGGTAAATAAATGCAGAATGTTGCCATGGATACACAAAAAAGGAATTATTTTTCACCATTTTAACTTTTAAAAATCAAATCTATGGAAGATACTGATAACATACATATGCACATGTATAACACAAACAGTTAGGTTAATGTATTAGAAAGCCAGGAATAGAAGATGATAAAACATTTTGTGGTTCAATTTTAATGTTTTTTTCTAACTGTGGAGTGCTACCTTAGTACTGTATAGAGAGGAGGGGATGATAAGGTTTGAACTGTATAGAGAGGAGGGATGATAAGATTTGTACTGTATAGAGAGGAGGGGATGATAAGGTTATTACTGTATAGAGAGGTGGGGATGATAAGGTTTGTACTGTATAGAGAGGTGGGGATGATAAGTTTAGTACTGTATAGAGAGGTGGGGATGAAAAGGTTAGTACTGTATAGAGAGGAGGGGATGGTAAGGTTTGTACTGTAAAGAGAGGAGGGGATGATAAGGTTAGTACTGCATAGAGAGGAGGGGATGATAAGGTTTGTACTGTATAGAGAGGAGGGGATGATAAGGTTTGTACTGTATAGAGAGGTGGGGATGATAAGGTTTGTACTGTATAGAGAGGTGGGGATGATAAGGTTAGTACTGTATAGAGAGGAGGGGATGATAAGGTTTGTACTGTATACAGAGGATGGGATGGTAAGGTTTGTACTGTATAGAGAGGATGGGATGGTAAGGTTTGAACTGTATAGAGAGATGGGGATGATAAGGTTTGTTCTGAATAGAGAGATGGGGATGATAAGGTTTGTACTGTATAGAGAGGTGGGGATGATAAGGTTTGTACTGTATAGAGAGGTGGGGATGATAAGGTTAGTACTGTATAGAGAGGTAGGGATGATAAGGTTTGAACTGTATTGAGAGGAGGGGATGGTAAGGTTTGTACTGTATAGAGAGGAGGGGATGATAAGGTTAGTACTGTATAGAGAGGAGGGGATGATAAGGTTTGAACTGTATTGAGAGGAGGGGATGGTAAGGTTTGTACTGTATAGAGAGGTGGGGATGATAAGGTTTGTACCATATACAGAGGAGGGGATGATAAGGTTAGTACTGTATAGAGAGGTGGGGATGATAAGGTTTGTACTGTATAGAGAGGAGGGGATGGTAAGGTTTGTACTGTATAGAGAGGTCAGGATGATAAGGTTTGTACTGTATACAGAGGAGGGGATGATAAGGTTAGTACTGTATAGAGAGGTGGGGATGATAAGGTTTGTACTGTATAGAGAGGAGGGGATGATAAGGTTAGTACTGTATAGAGAGGAGAGGATGATAAGGTTTGAACTGTATAGAGAGATGGGGATGATAAGGTTTGTTCTGTATAGAGAGGTGGTGATGATAATGTTTGAACTGTATAGAGAGGAGGGGATGATAAGGTTTGAACTGTATTGAGAGGAGGGGATGGTCAGATTTGTACTGTATAGAGAGGTGGGGATGATAAGGTTAGTACTGTATAGAGAGGAGGGGATGATAAGGTTTGAACTGTATTGAGAGGAGGGGATGGTAAGGTTTGTTCTGTATAGAGAGGTGGGGATGATAAGGTTTGTACCATATACAGAGGAGGGGATGATAAGGTTAGTACTGTATAGAGAGGTGGGGATGATAAGGTTTGTACTGTATAGAGAGGAGGGGATGGTAAGGTTTGTACTGTATAGAGAGGTGGGGATGATAAGGTTTGTACTGTATAGAGAGGTGGGGATGAAAAGGTTAGTACTGTATATAGGAGGGGATGGTAAGGTTTGTACTGTAAAGAGAGGAGGGGATGATAAGATTAGTACTGCATAGAGAGGAGGGGATGATAAGGTTTATACTGTATAGAGAGGAGGGTATGATAAGGTTTGTACTGTATAGAGAGGAGGGGATTATAAGGTTAGTACTGTATAGAGAGGTCGGGATGATAAGGTTAGTATGGTATATAGAGGAGGGGATGATAAGGTTTGTACTGTATAGAGAGGAGGGGATGATAAGGTTTGTACTGTATAGAGAGGTGGGGATGATAAGGTTTGTACTGTATAGAGAGGTGGGGATGATAAGGTTAGTACGGTATAGAGAGGAGGGGATGATAAGGTTTGTACTGTATAGAGAGGAGGGGATGATAAGGTTTGTACTGTATACAGAGGAGGGGATGATAAGGTTTGTACTGTATAGAGAGGTGGGGATGATAAGGTTTGTACTGTATAGAGAGGTGGGGATGATAAGGTTTGTACTGTATAGAGAGGTGGGGATGATAAGGTTTGAACTGTATTGAGAGGAGGGGATGGTAAGGTTTGTACTGTATAGAGAGGTGGGGATGATAAGGTTAGTACTGTATAGAGAGGAGGGGATGATAAGGTTTGAACTGTATTGAGAGGAGGGGATGGTAAGGTTTGTTCTGTATAGAGAGGTGGGGATGATAAGGTTTGTACCATATACAGAGGAGGGGATGATAAGGTTAGTACTGTATAGAGAGGTGGGGATGATAAGGTTTGTACTGTATAGAGAGGAGGGGATGGTAAGGTTTGTACTGTATAGAGAGGTGGGGATGAAAAGGTTAGTACTGTATATAGGAGGGGATGGTAAGGTTTGTACTGTAAAGATAGGAGGGGATGATAAGATTAGTACTGCATAGAGAGGAGGGGATGATAAGGTTTATACTGTATAGAGAGGAGGGTATGATAAGGTTTGTACTGTATAGAGAGGAGGGGATTATAAGGTTAGTACTGTATAGAGAGGTCGGGATGATAAGGTTAGTATGGTATATAGAGGAGGGGATGATAAGGTTTGTACTGTATAGAGAGGAGGGGATGATAAGGTTTGTACTGTATAGAGAGGTGGGGATGATAAGGTTTGTACTGTATAGAGAGGTGGGGATGATAAGGTTAGTACGGTATAGAGAGGAGGGGATGATAAGGTTTGTACTGTATAGCGAGGAGGGGATGATAAGGTTTGTACTGTATACAGAGGAGGGGATGATAAGGTTTGTACTGTATAGAGAGGTGGGGATGATAAGGTTTGTACTGTATAGAGAGGTGGGGATGATAAGGTTTGTACTGTATAGAGAGGTGGGGATGATAAGGTTTGAACTGTATTGAGAGGAGGGGATGGTAAGGTTTGTACTGTATAGAGAGGTGGGGATGATAAGGTTAGTACTGTATAGAGAGGAGGGGATGATAAGGTTTGAACTGTATTGAGAGGAGGGGATGATAAGGTTTGTTCTGTATAGAGAGGTGGGGATGATAAGGTTTGTACCATATACAGAGGAGGGGATGATAAGGTTAGTACTGTATAGAGAGGTGGGGATGATAAGGTTTGTACTGTATAGAGAGGAGGGGATGGTAAGGTTTGTACTGTATAGAGAGGTGGGGATGATAAGGTTTGTACTGTATAGAGAGGTGGGGATGAAAAGGTTAGTACTGTATAGAGGAGGGGATGGTAAGGTTTGTACTGTAAAGAGAGGAGGGGATGATAAGGTTAGTACTGCATAGAGAGGAGGGGATGATAAGGTTTATACTGTATAGAGAGGAGGGTATGATAAGGTTTGTACTGTATAGAGAGGAGGGGATTATAAGGTTAGTACTGTATAGAGAGGTCAGGATGATAAGGTTAGTATGGTATATAGAGGAGGGGATGATAAGGTTTGTACTGTATAGAGAGGAGGGGATGATAAGGTTTGTACTGTATAGAGAGGTGGGGATGATAAGGTTTGTACTGTATAGAGAGGTGGGGATGATAAGGTTAGTACGGTATAGAGAGGAGGGGATGATAAGGTTTGTACTGTATAGAGAGGAGGGGATGATAAGGTTTGTACTGTATACAGAGGAGGGGATGATAAGGTTTGTACTGTATAGAGAGGTGGGGATGATAAGGTTTGTACTGTATAAAGAGGTGGGGATGATAAGGTTTGTACTGTATAGAGATGTGGGGATGATAAGGTTTGTACTGTATAGAGAGGAGGGGATGATAAGGTTAGTACTGTATAAAGAGGAGGGGATGATAAGGTTAGTACTGTATAAAGAGGAGGGGATGGTAAGGCTAGTACTGTATATGTAAATGCTCTTTTGTTCCAACGTTGGAAAGTTCCGGGTGGAAAGAACTAACTAGCCGAAAAGTTCCGGAGGAACTTATTAACTAAGTACTTTGTTCTTCATCTGGTTTAAAAGTTCCACCGGAACAAAGTGACTAGTTGAAAAGTTCCAACGGAACATATCAACTAGTTAGAAAGTTCCTTTTTGCCAAATTAGTCAAAACCGGAACTAATAAACTAGCCCAAAAGTTCCAACGGAACTTATCAACCAGGCAGAAAGTTCCATTTGGAGAATTGATGCAAAGTAAAAGCGCAACATATTATATTTGAACCTTTCAAAGGGAAACCAAGATACTGATTACAAAAGTCAAAAGGAACTTATCAAGCAGTCACAAAGTTCCATTTGGAGAATTGATGCAAAGAACCACATGAGGAGGGAGTATTCTTGAGGGTACTATGAATACTAAATTTGCATGATAATGCAACTTACTCCATTTTATGTGAGCTATGAAATACAACTTAAATTTTGCATATTTGTCCCCAAAGAAACCCCTTCAGGTGCGTTGGGTATTCTTGTAAATTAATGATTTGCTCTTATATATACTGATACTCATTCTTCCCCCTCTTTCTACAAAAAAGACGAAATATGGTATATTCTGAACGATGTAACTAGTTGTTCTGGTCCGCCAGAACTATTCAACTAGCTACTTTTTTCCGGAACTTTTCGACTGCACTCGGAATAAAACAACTAGTTGGAAAGTTCCATCGGAAAGAAATAACTAGTTGAAAAGTTCCGCCGGAAACCAAGTAACTGACGGAACATAGTGGCTGTTACATATACAGAGGAGGGGATGGTGAGGTAAGTACTGTATAAAGAGGAGGGGATGGTAAGGTATGTACTGTATAGAGAGGAGAGGATGGTAAGGTTTGTACTGTATAGAGAGGAGGGGATGGTAAGGTTTGTACTGTATAAAGAGGAGGGGATGGTAAGGTATGTACTGTATAGACAGGAGGGGATGGTAAGGTTTGTACTGTATAGAGAGGAGGGGATGGTAAGGTTTGTACTGTATAGAAAGGAGGGGATGATAAGGTTAGTACTGTATAGAGAGGAGGGGGTGATAAGGTATGTTCCAGAGAGGGAGGGGATGGTAATGTTTGTACTGTATAGAGAGGAGGGGATGGTAAAGTATGTTCCAGAGAGGGAGGGGATGGTAAGGTATGTTCCAGAGAGGGAGGGGTGATAAGGTATGTTCCAGAGAGGGGGTATGGTAAGGTATGTTCCAGAGAGGGAAAGGATGGTAAGGTATGTTCCAGAGAGGGAGGTATGGTAAGGTATGTTCCAGAGAGGGAGGGGATGGAAAGGTATGTTCCAGAGAGGGAGGGGATGGTAAGGTATGTTCCAGAGAGGGAGGGGATGGTAAGGTATGTTCCAGAGAGGGAGGGATGATAAGAGAATTATTGGGTGATTTAATTGACAAATTTGGTGAAGGTTAGTGAATGTGGTGGTTAGGAATTGGGACCTTTAAATTTCTTCTAAGAGAAATCCATCATTCATTGATTAATTTACTTGAAGAAAAAAAATATCTTCCAAGTAGATGAAAATACATGTATTAACTCACAAAAGTGCATGTGATGTTGTATTTATTTAATATCAATAATATATTTTCAGTCTGTTTTACATAAACACTGATATTAACATTAAAAGTTGATTCCAAATTATCCATAAGGATACCTGAATTTCTATTTTTAGACTATCGCAATCAAGAGTGCAATATGCATGTTTTACGACTCTTAACGTAAAATAGCAATTTAAGAAATAAAATAATAAAACTATCAAAATGTTGGCAATATGTGTGAATTTTTGAAGCGTAGGTGGAAAATTAATCCTCACAACTAAAAACATGGCGGACGAAAAAGATTTCGTTAAACAACAAAAATTGTTCCCTAAGAACTTTATGAAATATTTTAGTTTAGTCCATCAATTTTCAATTGTTTGTATGGTGTTTCATCGCCTCAAAATGAATTAAAAAATAAGTTTCTAGTATTGAGTTGAATGTCATTAAATATCTGTGATTCTCAAGATAATTTTCAATTGTTTTGTTAGTGTCATCATCCTGTGTTATTATTTTAAGAGTAATAAAACCAACAAGCTAAAAATAGAAAGCTGGAAATTGATGTTGTTATGGTAAATATGAAAACAATATGGTGGAACCATGGTGACATAACTTAACTATCCTTGTAAACCCACTTGGAGAACTGGTCCTACATGAATCATGCCTCAGGATAATATTATGGTCTATTTCCATCGAAGAACCCTTGCCCTTTGACCAAAAAAAATTTCATATAATAAAAATAAGTATATGGGTGGGATGCACATTCTAACAAAATATTATGGTGGCCCATGCATGTGGCCAATGTTTTCTGATGCAAAAACTTTCAAATTTAGCAAAATGGATTGTCGAGGCAAGATATACAAACAAAAGCCTCATAGCTGAAACTGTAGATTAAGTGTATGTTGGAGTTATTGCCCTTTAAACTTGATATTTGTTTTGCCTTTGACAAAAGTCTCATTGAGCACTTAGCCATCCTACATTCCATTGAAACTGTAAAGTACAAAAATTAGAAGAAATAAAAGACCTACAAAAATGCCTCTACGACCAAAACCATTGTATGATTCCTTATAGGAATAAGTGCCCTTAAATAACATGTTTAACTTATTTTCAATTTATTGCCCATTATCTCAAAAACTAAAAATTGGTAAACAGCAAAACTGATCAACAATACAATATCTACAAAATGCAGATTGGACTAAAACCGTTGGTGACCATATATAACTAGAGTCTAAAATAGATATGTAGGAACTGTAAACACAAAATTTATCAGCAATACATAATCTATATAAAATTCCAATATGAGGGAAACCATTTACCTGATATTTTAGATGGTGTAGCGCCCTTAAATGACAATTTTTATACCCAGCTTTAAAAAAGTAGGGGTATGCTGTTTTTATTATACCCCCGCTTTAAAAAAGTGGGGGTATACTGTTTTACCTCTCTCTGTCCGTCCATCCATCCGTCTATCCGTCAGTCCATCCGTCCATCCGTCAGTCTGTCCATCCGTCTATCCGTCAGTCCATCCGTCCATCCGTCAGTCTGTCCATCCGTCCCATGAATATTTTTCGTCGCATCTTTCTCAGGAACTCCATTACAAGGATTTCTGAAATCAGGGTTTATATGAGTCAGCTATACCGTGTGATGCGTTTTCAGATTCATCACTCAACAACTCCTTGTTTACCTTATACTTTTAGCAGGGCAGGGGTATCAATAGTGAGCAGTAGCTCACAGATTCACTTATTTTTACTAATTGGGAGTTTTTGACTTTTAATTTAAAAACTGTAATGGCTTGGTAAAAATTGTAGAAGCAAAAATGATCAGCAATGCAAGAAAAAGGAAAGAATCAAAAGTTACGTATCATTATGTGTTACGTGTCCAATCACAACAAATGTTCATATGTTACAGATTATCAAAAGAGCAAGACAGAATTATCTGTTTGAGAAATATGTACAAGAGAATCACCCATGGAAAAGAATTATGGATGATACAGTAGAGGCCATGAAGGTAATTAACTAGAGATTGAATTATAAACTATAGAACACAAGACAGTAGAGGTCATGAAGGTAATTAACTAGAGATTGAATTATAAACTATAGAACACAAGACAGTAGAGGTCATGAAGGTAATTAACTAGAGATTGAATTATAAACTATAGAACACATGAAGGTAATTAACTAGAGATTGAATTATAAACTATAGAACACAAGATAGTAGAGGTCATGAAGGTAATTAACTAGAGATTGAATTATAAACTATAGAACACAAGATAGTAGAGGCCATGAAGGTAATTAACTAGAGATTGAATTATAAACTATAGAACCGAGACAACAAAGGTCACGTAAATGAATTAGATATAAGCTATGAATTTGTATGATGCTGTATACCATGTTATTCTACAGAAGAAGTCTCTGCAATATATTCTCTCTTCTCATATGCATCCTACTGTCATGAATGTAAGTTTATATTGAAAACCTTTTCTGATCTTTTTCAAGCCATTTGCAGAGAAAGTGAGAACAGAAACTGACCCAGATAAGAAAGCCATGTATGATAGAATGTCTGAGAAGGTCAACAAAGCACTCAAAGCATTGGAGGCTGTTGTCAATAACAGCAAAGGTCAAGATGAAATTCAGCAAGCTAGAAAAGTAAGGTTATATATATGACATCAGAACTATAATGGTTGTAAATACAAAAATAGAGTATGGTCAAATGTAACCAGCAAGAGGCCTTAAGTTATTTATAATCATCAGAAATATAAATTTATATCAACTAAATTATGAAATTCTCAAAAGTCAGAAAAATTAAGGTTTCAGGACAGGAATTATTGTCAATAAAAAACTGGTCTAGATGAAATCAGCAGCACAGAAGGATAAGGTCAAAATAAATATAGACAGAGATGTGGTATGATTGCCAATGAGACGACTATCTACCAAAGACCATAGGACATAGATATAAGCAAAGGGCCTTCAAAAATGAATAAAACCTATACCATATAGTAAGCTATGAAAGGCTTAACAAAGTGTGAAACAAGTCAAAAGAGTAAACAAAGCCTGATTTAAACTATCGATAATAACATTAAACAAAATACAGATATGGCAGACTAAAGGTCATTCAAGATGAAATCTTCCAACCGAAAACGTTAAGGTCAAAGGCTATAAGGACAATGATGGTTATAAGCACCTAACAGCATACCTAAAACTAACAGTGTAAATTAAAAGGCCAGACTTGATATAAGAAGCTTTTAACTTTGGATGTCCCTTTGGTATCTTTCTCCTCTCTTTCAAGAAAGACACCCATTAAAAAAAAAAACAGGCTAAAAGGTAGTATGTATGGTAAGAAATATAAAATTTTACAGTTGGTACCAAATCAAAGACAATAAACTCAATAATCTGTTTTCCATAATGCAAAAGTTAGTTTGGGGCTTTCATACTGTTATGCTACTAATTATAGAATAAACATACAATATTCAGAAAATATAAAATTCATTGGTACATGATTTAGAAACAGAAACTTGAAGAAATGAGAGGTTTGTCAAGCTTTAATTCTGTTTCATAGTGTGTTAATTATAGTTTCCAGCTCAGTAAGTACAGTTTTTATCCTGTAATTTGATATTGTTCAATATTCAGTTTGATGATTTTCAGCATTTGTCTCTGTTTTTTATTAAAATTGACATATAGCTATGTACCACAAAGAAGGTACAAAAATGAACTATTTGAATTTTACCTGTCACTCTCAATACAAGGAGGATACCAGGAGACGACATCTGTATACTATATGAATATAATTACAACTGTATTTGTATAGTAAATGGTCAACTGCAGAATGAATTTAATGAAGTACCTTAGCACTTTGATTATTTTTAATGAGCTTTGTATATTCTAGGCCTTATTAGAAGCATCCAGAGATATTGTTGCTGATTGGTTGGATAGTTTACATGGTTCGGAGGTCACAGATAACTCTATATTCACGAGCCTGCCAAGATTTTTTGAAGAACAGTTCCATGAAGACATGAAAGCTTTAAATGTAAGATTTAATAATGTACAAAGCTTGCCCCTTTGTTTCATAGATATTCAAGGCAATGCCCTTGTGTCATAAATTTTCAAGGCAATGCCCTTGTGTCGTAAATATTCAAGACAATGCCCTTGTGTCATAAATAATCAAGGCAATGTATGATATGCTTCAATGAGACAGCAATCCAACAACAAATGAAACCCCAGATGACATTTAGAGGACTCAACACATGGTCTTAAACAATAGACATTTGTCCATACAATATGCCAAGCTGTAAAAACTCATAAATCTGCTCTATTTACTAACATGACACAGCTACCACATAAATCTGCTCTATTTACTGACGTGACACAGCTACCACATAAATCTGCTCTATTTACTGACATGACACAGCTACCACATAAATCTGCTCTATTTACTAACATGACACAGCTACCACATAAATCGACACAGCAACCACATAAATCTGCTCTATTTATTAACATGACACAGCAACTACATAAATCTGCTCTATTTACTGACATGATACAGCTACCATTTGGAGACATCAGTTCCAAGAAGGGGATTAAAGAAGGTCACATGGTCTCTTCTGAAATTTATCACTCCAACAATTATGCTGATGAATTTGGCATTTGTTTTGTATTTTTGATTGAATGTATTGCAACAGTCAAATAAATGATATACCTGCCTAACTTTGTGCATGATCATTAAGGAAGATAAGTGTATTCTAATGCATTAAATATTTTACAATATTTTATAATCATATTGTTTTGTTCTGTAGGTTTTACCAGCAGACGTGTTAACAAGAGTTAGCGAATACATACCAGAAATTATAACTTTTGTACAGAAAATTATAAATAATGGCTTTGGGTAAATATCATAACTGGTTTTAGGACATTGTTTGATGATTAATTGTTGTTTTTTTAATGTTCCTTGGCTAATATTTCATTCATATTCAGGGGAAAACAGATTACCAATATCAAATGGGTTGGTTTTGGAAAGTGGGTGGAAGGGTGGGCATTTCAGGTGCCACTGGAAAATGAGAGAATGTTGGGATAGGAACAAAAATTGTCCCTTGCAATGGACCCCTCAAACAGCTACTACAAGGATTCTCAAACATGCAGATAACATGGCATTCTCCCTACAACAGGGAAACATGGACTTATTTCTATACGAGGGGGTACCTTCAGGGGGTTGGGTAGTTAAATTATTTTATAAATAAATTAATTTAGAATTTGGAAATACTGGAGAAAAAATGATGTTATTGTAGATAATCTTAATTTTATGATGTAATAGGTTTGCTGATCCTGGATTTTATTAATTCATTTTTGTAAAAATATCTATCATTCCAATGCATTATAGACTATTGAAAATTTTTAAGGGTGAAAAGACTTAATGTTTGTCATTAAATGTCACCAGGAATACAGACATTGAAGTTCTATAAAATTGAGAATGGAAATGGGGAATGTGTCAAAGAGACAACAACCCGACCATAGAACAGACAACAATTATAGCATATTTGTGTTTTAAAATGAAGAATGATTCAATTTTTGTATTCCTCATTTCAGATATGAATCAAATGGCTCTGTATATTTTGATACTCCTACTTTTGATCAGAGTGAGGGACATTTTTATGCCAAACTTGTACCAGAATCTGTTGGGGATTCCAAGGCTCTGGCAGAAGGAGAAGGTATGGATTTTATTAGATACATGTGAACAACAAATTTGAATATTCAACAAAGTACAAATTTTTCTATAAGCTTGTATGTAGACCTTTGTAAAACAATGAAATCATATATCCACAAAAATTACCATTTATCCTTATGCCTAAAACATTGGTACACACAAAATTAAAGGAATCCACAGTGTAATGGTGTCTTTATTCTACAGGTGACCTGTCTAAGGATAAAGTAACAGAGAAGAAAAGTCCAATAGATTTTGCTCTGTGGAAGGCATCCAAACCTGGGGAGCCGTCCTGGGATTCCCCATGGGGAAAGGTAAGGCATATGGCTTTTTATTCACAATAATTGTGTTTTGTCCAAACTCATCTACTAGGCCTCAGACCACAATTATTCTTCCCATTGGTTACAATGCATTTTTTGGTAAAAGTCAAATTGAATTAAAAAATTTGCACCGCATCAAACATGAAATAAATTTAACTGCTTATAGACCATTATTATTAGAATAAAATATGCTTGTCCCAGGACAATCCATCAGTGCTTTTTCTTTTGAGAGCCCTATTAACATGCCAACGGTAGGATTTGAATCTTGAATAAATGACGAAGACTAATTTCTACCCTACTTTCATTTTGGCCAAATCACTACTTTCACTTTCAACAATAATTTTTGTCCACATGTTTTACTTATTTCAATATATATGCAACTAATAGGACCACTTAAATAGTAAACATTTCAAAGAAAACAGTAGTCAGAATACTTAGGAAGAAATACCCCATATAATAATTGGGAACTATATTCCTAGACCACGAACAAAGGGAATTAATTGTGGTCTGAAGCCTATTAGACCTCAAAAATTTAAAGTATTCTTATGAAACTTCACAGTTACTTAGCATGATATCTAAGTAGTATAAATGCCAAATTTTATTACATTCTGACAATTATTAAAAATGTTTGGAATGCTTTTATATTAGCATATCTGTCTGCGGAACATGCTTTTTGCAAAGTATTAAGAAATCAGTCAAAATTTTATTCAGAAAATATTTTTTTGGTAATTTTTTACCAAAATATGCCTTGATCCAGTAAACATAACTTGTATTTAGTTGAAATGAGACAACTGTTAAAGCAAACTGCCACTTATGTGCCAGTTTTTTTCATATTTATATTTCTCTGGTTCTTAAGTCAGAATTGGTCAATATGATAAGGGCACAGACATAAAGAGCATAATTGCGGGTAAATAAAAACTGAAAAGTTGATTTATTTTCATCATTCTATCCTCTCTATTGGTTATTTACTTCTAAACAACTAAAAGTAATTTAGACTTGATACTTTTGAATTTTTAAGACATTTTGCTTTTCATATTTTTAAGTGTGTTTGTATGTCATGTTATGTCCCAGGATCAACTAAGTTTTGTAAAAACTAATTGAAATTGCATTTATAAGGTACCCTCATTGATTCAATGAAGTAATGTGGTGCATTCGCACAAATTTTTTTCTTTAATTTTCATTAGAAATCATGTAAACTGTAAAAAATGCCATTACCTGCCTCATATGCCCAAATATGGTCAAAATGTCTTATTTTGATAGATTTTGTGTAATTTCTATTTTCTTTCTTGAAAAGTAATATGACAAAGATCATTTTGTACCTGTAAGACTTTTTATTCACAATAATTGTGTTTTGTCCAAACTCATCTCCTAGGCCTCAGACCACAATTATTCTTCCCATTGGTTACAATGCACTTTTTGGTAAAAGTCAAATTGAATTAAAAAATTTGCACCGCATCAAACATGAGATAAATTTAACTGCTTATAGACCATTATTATTGGAATAAAATATGCTTGTCCCAGGACAATCCATCAGTGCTTTTTCTTTTGAGAGCCCTATTAACATGCCAACGGTAGGATTTGAATATTGAATAAATGACGAAGACTAATTTCTACCCTACTTTCATTTTGGCCAAATCACTACTTTCACTTTCAACAATAAATTTTGTCCACATGTTTTACTTATTTCAATATATATGCAACTGATAGGACCACTTAAATAGTAAACATTTCAAAGAAAATAGTAGTCAGAATACTTAGGAAGAAATACCCCATATAATAATTGGGAACTATATTCCTAGACCACGAACAAAGGGAATTAATTGTGGTCTGAAGCCATATATTTGAGAGTCGTCCGTGAAATCCAAATGGAGGGGGGTAAAAAATTCATTTGTTGGGAGCTGTCAATCAATTCCCCATAAGGAAAGACAAGTTATCAAAAATGGGAGCCATAACGTATTCGCAAGTAAGAAAGGTCTGGCATTTATATGTTGTTAGCTATCAGTGGATTCTCCATATGGAAAGGTATGGCATTAAAACCTGCTGAGCCATCAACTTTTTATACGACCGCAAAAAAAATTTTGTGGTCGTATATTGGTATGACGTTGGCGTCGTCGTCATCGTCGTCGTCGTCGTCCGAAGACACATTAGTTTTCGCACTCTAACTTTAGTTTAAGTGAATGGATCTCTATGAAATTTTACCATAAGGTTCAATACCACAAAAGGAATAAGGGGCCAAAAGGGCCAAAAATAAGCATTTTTGTAACTTCCGGACATAACTTGTGTGTGAGTGTATGGATCTCTCTGACATTGTACCACAAGGTTCCATATCACAAAGGGAATGCTGGGATTGATTTTGGGGGTAATTGTCTCCAAATTTTAGGAATAAGGGGCCAAAAAGGGGCATAAAACAAGCATTTTTCTAGTTTCATGACAATAACTTGTGTGTAAGTGTATGGATCTTTCTGACATTGTATCACAAGGTTCCATATCACAAAGGGAATGCTGGGATTGATTTTGGGGGTAATTGCCTCAAAATTTTAGGAATAAGGGGGCAAAAAAGGGGCAAAAAACAAGCATTTTTCTAGTTTCATGACAATAACTTGTGTGTAAGTGTATGGATCTTTATGAAATTGTACTGCAAGGTTCCATATCACAAAGGGAAAGCTGGGTTTGAGTTTGGGGGTAATTGCCCAAAATGTTAGGAATAAGGGGCCAAAAAGGGGCCAAAAATAAGCATTTTTCTAGTTTCCAGACAATAACTTGTGTTCAAGTGTATGGATCTCTCTGAAATTGTACTGGAAGGTACCATACCACAAAAGGAAGGCTGGGCTTGATTTTGGGGGTAATTCCCTCAAAATTTTAGGAATTAGGGGCCATAAAAGGGCAAAAAAACAAGCATTTTTCTAGTTTCAGGACAATAACTTGTGTGTAAGTTTATGGATCTTTATGAAATTTTACTGCAAGGTTCCATATCACAAAGGGAAAGCTGGGTTTGAGTTTGGAGGTAATTGCCCTAAACGTTTAGGAATTTGGGGCAAAAAAGGGGCCAAAAAACAAGCATTTTTCTAGTTTCCAGACAATAACTTGTGTTCAAGTGTATGGATCTCTCTGAAATTGTACTGCAAGGTACCATACCACAAAGGGAAGGCTGGGATTGAGTTTGGGGATGATGAATCATAAGGGGGTTCAAAAAATTTGGGGGGGATTTTTTTTTCCTTTTTTTTTCTTTAAAATTTTCCATTTTAAATTGGTTATTTCTGATTTATATATAAAAGCAAATAATAATGATATGGTTTGAATAGGTAAATTAAAAATTTTTAAGTTCTTAGACCACTTTCATTCTGTGTCAGAAACCTATGCTGTGTCAAATATTTAATTACAATCCAAATTCATTGCTGTATCAAGCTTGAATGTTGTGTCCATACTTGCCCCAACTGTTCAGGGTTCGACCTCTGCGGTCGTATCAAGCTGCGCCCCAGCGAAGCATTTTATTCTATAGGTGGAAAGTCAAGGTGTTCTTATTAGTCATTTATGGATTCCTAAGGGGAAAAGGTAAGGTAAGTTGGATAGTCATTATAGGATACCACAAGGGAAAGATGAAGCATTCATACCAGCTGAGTTTGACTGATTGTTTCTAGCTTAATGTCTAGTAGCAAATATTTCATGAATATTCATGACAAGAACAATTAAACATTAATACAATATACATATGTACCTGTTTTCTGATGGGAAAGGTAAGGGATTCAAACCTGCATAACTTTTAGATTCATTGTGGAATTCACCACAAGGTAAGTAAGGCGTTTCTCTAATTTTTTCATTATTTTCACATTCCCCAACCGATTGTGAAAAAATTGTTCTCCCTACTAGTGAAATATCTGTTCTCACTAAATGATTGGTTGCAAATTTAATGATGACGTCTTGGTTTCTTCTGAATTTCCTATTGTGATGTCACGAAATAAGGCGACCATGCCTGATGACGTCGCATATAAAGAACACAACTTTCTGAAAATCTTTGAAAAGGAAGGATAAAAATCATTAGAGAAACAGATTCCACCACTATAACTCGTGTATTACGATATTTCTCATCTCTGAACAGTTAAATTTTAATTATTTAAAAAGCTCGGCAAGACTCTCGCTTTAAATATCAAAATTTAACTGTCTTGAGTGGAGAAATATCGTAACACGCTTGTTGCAGTTGTAGAATCTATATTTCTCAGATAGCCATTATATGGTTTATTGTAGGATATGGTAAGTCAGTCTGCATTTAAACTTAAGAGTTGTGTATGATTAACCTTGGGATAAGGTCAGACTTATAACCAGATGAGTTTTAATAATATTGTCATGTTGAAAGGTAAGAAGATATCTAACCTTAAGGTAGATCGGGTGTCTTTTTCTGAGCATCCCTTCTGGGCATGTTCCAAAAATACTTTTTTGGTTTAAAATTTTTTTCCAATTATTATTCAATATACAAAAAAAACTTCTGATATTTGAAATAAAAGCTTAAACTACCAAAGTGTCCTTATTGCGAACCAAATGAAACTTTTCCATAGAGTCATCTCCTATTGTTCAATCTATTTAAAATTTTGTCAGTTCTATTGTGCTATTGAATAAATATAAAAGCTATTGCTCTCTGTGTAGTTTATTCACTGGGACCTTTAAATTTCTTCTAAGAGAAATCCATCACTCATTGATTAATTTACCTGAGTAAGAAAAATATCTTCTAAAAGATGAAAATACATGTTTTAACTCACAAAACTGCATGTGATGTTTATTTATTCAATATCAATAATATATTTTCAATCCGTTCAATATAAACACTGATTTAATCATAAAAAAGTTGATTTTTGACAAAATGTTCAGAATTTTTCTTATTGAAATTTGCATTTTTTTGTTTTTGTTTAGTTATAGAATATATTTAGGAAGGCCTTAATTTAAACATCGTCATTTTCCAGTTTTTATTTGTAAAACACTAAGAAAAAAAAATTTAATAGGAA